TGTGTGTGTGTGTGTGTGCTGCCATTAGGTATCTGCCATGGGTTGCCAAAAACGCTTAGTTCCCTCTTCCAAACGAGTTCCATTGGGTAATCATGAATTTCTTTGTGGCATGAAGTGAGGTGAAAGAATACAAGAGAGCCTATCGCGGTGCTGATTTCCATGCCAGTCTTGAAGCACCCACCACAAGCTTGCATCGATGCTATTTCTTAGGTCTGTTGATCTGCGCATAGAGAGGCTCTGGCTCCTGTAGACAGAGGACAAAGTGAGACCTACTCCTTTTCACATGGGATTTTCTGAGACAGCTTTGGGAAGAAGGGTTTGGGATTACAACAGAAAGGTGACAGTTTCTGATGGATGACCTTAGGTTATTTTTGCATTATTTGATCATGGTGCATATTATTTTGGCAACATTTTTATCATAGAAAAGATCTACTCACCCAGGTCTGTCCTTGTTTTCAGGCTGAGCGCTGTTAGGGAAATAACATGGTATAGTAGGAAGAGCTGGATAAGCTGTATGAAGTGGGCAAGATACTTATCCTTTCTGGGCCTCAGTGTCTTTAACCATGAATGGTAATAGTATGGTTTATCCTGTAGAGTTCTTGAGAGAAGGAGATAACACATACAAAGCATCTAACACAATGCTTGGTAGTAACTGGTCTTCAGATTGGTTACAGCTATTGGGTTGTCAGAAAAATCATGATGTGCTTTTCTATGCAAAAGTGCATCATGACTTTTCAGACAACCCAATATTAAGAGTCAAGTGGACATTTTCCCAACCGTTTCACACATGTATACTTAAGACTACTGAAATTCTTTAAACTGCTCTCTGGTTCCCACAAGCAGCAAAGCCTGGATAACTGTCGAACAGAAGCATCAACTAACTGTACCTTTTTCTCTTAATTAAATGCCCCTGGGACTTGTTTTCATGCAACCTGCTATTTAAAGTTTGGTCAGTTACTGGTCTATACTCGTGGGGCTAACCTGAGATACACACAAGGATTTTTGCCAGCATATGATGCAGCAAATCTTCTGTCCAAACATGTATGGGAAACAGTTTTGGCCCTGTTTGAAACACTTCAGACTTCAGCTTCTGCTGAGTCTGTGGCTCAAGGTGTACTGGCTCAACAGATCAGATTAATTCTCTGGGCCTGACCAAGACCATGCACAGGTCCTTCTGCTAAAGTTGACCTCTGTGCATTTACTCCTGAACGTTTGTGGATAGAATTAAATGGGCCTGGCAACATCTTAATTCCGCCATATTTTATTTATTAGCTTGCCTTCTGTCATGTGAGTACAGATTCTTTTCATTTGTTTATTTTCTTGAACCTCGAGACTAAATTGGTATTCTGTAAGTCTGTACTAGAACCATGCTAGGTATTTCCAAGATCATTGTCTTTTTAATTCATCAAGGCAGCCCTGTAAGACAGACACTTTATCTCTTTTACAGATAAGAAACCCAGCCCAAAGTCAAGCAGCCCCAAAGCTAGTAAGTTTGGATACATGAGACCTCAAAATAGGGTCCAGTGCTTTTTCTGGTCTATTATAATAGTTTTAGGGAGGTCAGGGGGAGCAGGCTGACTCAGACCCCAATTCTCATAGAATGCTTTAGAGTTACAAAACATTTTTGTAATTTTTTTTTTTTAGAGGTTTTTGCTTTAGGGCGTGTGCGCTCGCCAGACAGACAGAGACAGGGAGACAGAAAGCGAGAAATCACCTCCCAGGGGGGATGGCCACGCTGCAATCCCCTCTCCCCTGTTCTCTTCTCAGGATCTTGGGCACACATGCACATGCGCCCGGTGTGAGTTTTAAGCCACTGGGTCCGGGACGTGAACCGCAGTCGACCACATGGGAGTCCAGCGACATAGCCATTACGCTAACCGCTGGTCCCATTTTTGTAATGTTTTGATCTGCCTTACAGTCCTGCGAGTAGCTTTATATCTTGCCATCTTCATTTTGCTGATTAAAGACTCAAGTTCAGAGAAGGTGTGTGATCCCAAGGTCTTTGGGCTGCCCCTGCGTATGATATATCATATTGCTTGCTTCATATTGTAGCAAAGAACGGCCTATAAGTTGTCCAAGGCCGCCATTTTACAGATGAGGAATCTGAAGACCAGTGAAGAAAGCTTTTGTTTTTCCAGAGTCACATGTTTACCTAGTAACCACACCAAGAGTGGAAACCAGGACTCCTGATATCAGAGTCTGGATGACTTCCCCTACCACTGGTTGAATATTTGTAGTCTTCCAGGGCAAAGGACTTCCTACCTTGTGGCACCCAATCTATAATACAGTAGATTGCCAGGTTGTCTCTTGATGTGTTCTATCCATAGACCCCATAAACTTAATACTACCCTTGAAAACGTAAAGAATATGTGTAAATCCTTTTTCCACCTATCTGAAAGCGGGAAGCTCATCTTTGAAGTCTTACTCTGAGTTACAGCTTACCAGATCCTTCCGCGATTTTACATATGGGAACCTGACATAGTAGGGTTTCAGTGAGAGTCCCTTGAACTAATGTATGACTGAAGGAGTTTCTTCACCATTCGGACCCTTTTGTCCTCAATATACTCCGTGCTTTCATGATCAAATCTAGCAAAATCTATGACAAGATGATCTACTAAGAACCTCCTCTATTCCTTGCCACTATCCTGAACTGTTTGAATTACCTCCTGTAAAGCTCACTATGTCACTTTACAATATTTGTGTTCTGGAATTGGGGAGGGTCAAGGAAAGGTGGAGGAGAAAAATAGTTAAGTACAGAGTACTAGAAAGAACTATTTTCTTTGCTTGTGCAGGGCTTTAGGGACGCATCTCAATGCTTCCTAGGTAGACTCTATCAGCCCATTCTTCTTTTGGGACACCCTGAGAAGTCAGGCTGCCTTGATCTCCCCCTACAATTTGCTCTATTCTAATTTTGGAAACTAATTTATCCAACTGAGAATGACACCTAAAAACAGAAGACGACAGCAGGCTCAGACAGGGTAATTAATGCCACACTGCATTAACTTGCTGCAGCTGAGATAAATATTCACACATCTCCTGCTTGCCGGAATTTAGCTTCAAATACCCATCACAACAGCGGTAACGACTGCAGTCAACTCTCAATTATCCCCACTAATGAAGGGGAGCAGTGGTGTGGAAAACCCCAAGCAGCAGATAATCCCAAAGTCTGACACTGTGATGCATTATACGTTTTGGCAATAGCTTTACCTTCCTTGTTACAGAATCCTGGACTGTCAGAGCTAGAGGGGAGCTAAGAAATCGTTTGATTCAGAAATTTTCAACCTGGCTTCTGGCAATAGGGTTTTCAAGTTATTTTCAAATTTCCCAAAAGCCTAAATGGAATCACATATTAACATAACCCAGAGTTGATTAATTTTTTTTGTTGTTGAGATTTTCTTTCGACCACATCTCTGTCCTGCTTCAAATCATCATCGACTCCCTAGCATTCACAGGGCAAGGTCAAAGTTCCTTAGCTGGGCACACAAGGAGCATTAGTCTTGTAGTCCATCTGAGCTAAGAAATACCTCTTTTAAGTCATGAATCAAAACTCAACCTTATATCATAGCAATTGTGTTTTTAAATTTTTTTTTTTAATTTAGAGAGAGTTTTGCTACAGAGTGTGTGTGCTCACAGGAGAGACAGACAGAAAGCAAGAAATCACCCCCAGGGGTATTGGCCAGGCTGCAACCTGCCATCCCTTCTCCTCCAGTCTCCTCTCAGGATTTTGGGCATGCATGCACATGCACCTGGTGTGAGTTTTAAGGTGCCAGGTCCAAGACTCAAACCACAGTTGACTAATGTGGGAGTCCAGTGACATAACCATTATGCCATCTGCTGGTCCCTTTGTGCTTTATAGTTTTTTTTTTTTTTTTCTAATCTGTATGCCTTTACTGGAGTGATCTTTCTGAAGTAGATTTGGTCACACCAGTCTCCTGCCTGAAATGGCCCTCCTGGCTCTTAATACTCAGCTCCTCAGATGGCACATCAGACCCTTCAGTGTGGTTTTGCCTTCCAGACCAGCCTCACTCATCCCACCTCCTCCCATGCCGTACCTTCCAAACCCTGGTTCGGATTTACCTGAACATGACATGATTTGCCCATCTCCAGACTTTGTTCAGGCAGTTCTTTCTTTCTTTGGGGACTTCTTTATTCTATACCAGGGAATTCATACTTGAAGACCCAGCTCAAATGTGAAGGCTTCCTATACTGTGCACGATGTGAGCCCCTTCTGCTCCTGTGCCTGTAGTGCCTGGCACAGACCTGTCTCCACGTGCTCATGGCACCTCATAGAATGTCCTACCCTGGGCTCTACTGTGCTCAGATCTTGAGCCAGGGCTTGGAACAGAAGAGACAGGCCCATGAGCAACAGGAACAACAATATAAATTAGAAAATGAATGG